GCACTGACCTGAGCTGTGGGCTGCGGGGTTGCATGGAAGCTGATGCCTCCCTGTCTCTTGCAGGCTTTCACGTGCTCAGTGTGCCAGGAGGTGTTCAAGAGGCGGATGGAGCTGCGGCTGCACATGGTGTCGCACACGGGGGACATGCCATACAAGGTCAGCGGTGCCTGCCTCCAGCATCCCTACAGACACTGCCAAGCGCTGGAAGAGGGGCAAATCTTGGTGGTGTGGGGCACCCAAACCTCCTTGCCTGGTCCGCAGCAGCTCCCTGAGGGCCATTCCCCATCTGTGAGCTGGAACGTGCTGCGGGGGGGAGGCACCAAACCCAGGCACCGTAGCAGGGATCCTGTGCCAGACCAGCGCTCCACTGCCCGGTGTGCGGGCACGGTGCCGGTCCTCAACTGGTGCTGAAGTGGCTGTGGGGGGCAGCCGGGAGCTGAGCCTCCTCTGCTGTCTTGCAGTGCTCCTCCTGCGCCCAGCAGTTCATGCAGAAGAAGGACCTGCAGAGCCACATGATAAAGCTGCACGGCGCACCGAAGCCCCACGCGGTAAGGGGGGCAGGCAGCCGTGGGTATCCGGGAGGGAGCTGTCCCATGCTCAGGGTTAGAGCGGCACCATTGCCCTGTCTGGCTCTGATCAGCAGGGCGTTACAGAGCTCCTGGCGACAGTGGTTTTGGGTACAGGAGCATCCCTGCATCCCTTTGGCTGACAGACCCAGGCCGTGGCGGGCGTGGTGCCTAACCCCTGTGCGCTCTCCTGTGGCCTTGCAGTGCTCGACCTGCTCCAAGTGCTTTCTGTCTCGGACAGAGCTGCGCCTGCACGAGGCCTTCAAGCACCGGGGAGAGAAGCTGTTTGTGTGCGAGGAGTGCGGGCACAGGGCCTCGAGTCGCAATGGCCTGCAGATGCACATCAAGGCCAAGCACAGGTAGGATGCGAGCGGGTCCGCACTGAGTGTACAACCACAGTGGCACGGGCCCTCAGCCTGGCTAATTCATGTTGTTGAAGTGGGACGCGTGCACCAGCGGCTGCTCCCTGCACACATCCTCGGTGTTCTGTTTCCTGGGCTGGTTATAACGCCCAAGGGGGGGAGGCTCCAGTGTGGCAGCAGAGCAGCGCCTGTGGGCCTCCAGAATACTTTGGATTGAAATGGGTTGAAGCAGGGTTTACTCGGGAGAGCACTGGGGGAGCAGCAGCAGCAGCAGGGCCCCGCGGCGCTGACGGTGCCACCTCCCTGCCCGCAGGAACGAGCGGCCCTACGTGTGCGAGTTCTGCCACCACGCCTTCACCCAGAAAGCCAACCTCAACATGCACCTGCGCACGCACACGGGCGAGAAGCCCTTCCAGTGCCACCTCTGCGGCAAGACCTTCAGGACACAAGGTACCCCGGGCGTGCTGGTGGTGCCGAGCACCAAGCGTGTGCTGGCACGCGGGAAGGCACATTCCTGTTACCGCCATTACCCTCACGGCACAAAGGATCCCGATATTGACCCTTTGGTTGATTCAAAACTGAGCTTTCCCCTTCCGAGCCTCCCTCACCCGCCCGGCGCGCACCGACTGCACCGCGCGTGCCCCGTTCTGGAGGTGCCGATGCAGAGCTCTCCCCTGTCTCCCCCGCGCGTGGCAGCGAGCCTGGACAAGCACAACCGGACCCACACCGGGGAGCGCCCCTTCGGCTGCGAGTTCTGCGAGCAGCGCTTCACGGAGAAGGGGCCGCTGCTGCGGCACGTGGCCAGCCGGCACCAGGAGGGGCGGCCCCACTTCTGCCAGATCTGCAGCAAGACCTTCAAAGGTAACGGCCGGGCACGGAGTGCACGCGGGGCCCCATCAGAGCCCGCCCCGGTGCGGGTCAGGGTCACTGCGAGCCGCTGCCAACGGGCTCTTCGCTTCCCTTGCAGCCGTGGAGCAGCTCCGCGTCCACGTCCGCCGGCACAGGGGCATGAGGAAGTTCGAGTGCACCGAGTGTGGGTACAAGTTCACCCGGCAGGTAAGGACCCCCTGCTCCAGGCCCGGAGCCGGCACTCACCGAGCCCCTCACCGTGCCCCCATCCCTTCCTTGCCAGGCTCACCTGAGGCGCCACATGGAGATCCACGACCGCGTGGAGAACTACAACCCGCGGCAGCGGAAGCTGCGGAACCTGGTCATCGAGGACGAGAAGGCCGTGGTGTTGGCACTGCAGCCGCCACCGGAGCTGGACGTGGGCTCGGCCGAGGTGATCGTGGAGTCCCTGTCCCGCGGCACCCTGCCCGAGGACATCCCCGTGCAGAGACTCTGCTCCAATGAGAACTTCCCCCCAGCGGATGTGATGGAGCAGGCGCTGATCCTGACAGACCCCGAGGGCTGTGGCACATAGCGGGACCCGGCGCGCAGGGAGCTCGGGCTGGAGCTGCTCTCTGCCACGTTTGTTCCTCTGGAGCTCTGCATCCGCCCCTTCCCCGCGCATCTCCCAGCCCCGGCTGCGGGAGGGGAAGCTCTGATCCGGTGTCGGATGAAGCCGCTCCGCGTGACTCCTTAATAAACACACGCAGAGTGTGCGGGGTGCAGCCATGGGCTCTGTGTGTGTAACCATCGCCTCTCACTGCTGCTCGCCCCTTGCCTCTGAGCTCCTGATTAAAGCTTACCTTCCCCAGAGCACGGCTCTGCCCTTCCCTTAAACACTGCTTCCCAAAGGATTGTCTCCTCCTTAGCCCTGGGCCTGCTTTCACTTTGTTTTGTTGCACTTGTAACGGCTGTTCCTTTGCCCCATTGAAGGCAAGGCACGCCTGGCATCTCACCACCGATAACTGAGCTGTTGTGAATGGGAAACACGTTATCTGAAGGAGCTGGAGCCGGTGAGTGCTCCCTGCTCCTGCGTTTTGGGATGGGGATTTCTCTTTGTCTGCAACACCATGAGCCAGGGTCGCTGTGACCCTGAGAACTACATCCCTGATGGGGGAAGGCCATTGGATGTGCCCACAGTCACAGCCCTGCTCTCCCCTTTCCCACACACCAAGGCAACAGAATGTCTCCAGCTGGAACACTGGGCCTGGGATGAGAACCCCAGTAAAACCCTACTGCCACCATCTTCCCTTGGGAGGCGACCAAGAGGTTCATGGAAGGTGTTTTATTTAACTTGACTGCTGCAAGTAAATTTAAAACTATGAGGATAAAAATACATTATCTGTAAGGGAGATGCCTTTGTTTCAAGGCATTCAAAGCACTCCAAGAGCCGGGCACAATGGGCTTTAGCAACAAATAAATACAGCTCGGCAAGTGTTGAGCCTGTTGGGGACTGGGGGGGGCAGGTCCAGCAGCGAGCACTGCAGCACAAGACACACTGCCTTCTATCTGTAGTCTGGCATAGATAGCTGGGGCTGCAGTGCACATTGTGCCGTGCCGCCTCGAACGGGCTCCGTGCGGTGCTGCGGGGACATGGGACATGCCCCGAGTCCCTGCATTCCAGCCCGGAGGGTTTCGATCCAAGAGGCTGCCACGGCACAATCCAGCTTCAAGGCACTGTCATGGAGAAGAGCCGGGAGTCACCAGCGGCATTCCCGGCCCCGCAGCCGAGGAGCGGGGCATGAGGCAGGAAACGGCGTTCAAGGCAAACCAGATCCGTGTTAAAGCTGTGAAGCCGCTGATGCTGTGGAGATGGGGCCCTGGCGCTTTCCATCTCCAGATGAAGTCCAAATGTGAGTGTTTTCTCTACTGGTTGAAAGCACAGGAGGGGAACAGCCCCAGCCTCCAGCCCCGCTCTCCCGAAGGATGAGCCTTGGCCTTTGGCTCCTGGCTTGTTCACCAAACATTCCACAAGTAAACTGCAGGCAGCTTCTCTTCACCAAGGTAGGAGGAACCCAGCCCAAGCTCCCTACGTCCCTTGGGCAAGGGTAAAGGCAACTCTTAGGCCAAAAAACCCCGCAAACCCCAAACAAAAAGAGCAAACAAAAGAAATAACTACCCTAAAGTCCCTACTGCTCAATCCACAGCACTCCAGGCACCTCCTGCACCTCCGCCAAAACAGCTTTAGGAAAATAGGCCTTTTCCTATTGCTCACACCCCGAGAGCTGTGAGCAGGAGGCACGACAGGCACGAGACCTCTCTGAAGGTCCAATGAGTTCATTCACACAAGGGAGGGGATGGGTTTGACAGCGGTTCTGAGTCAGGGTATTAACTGCAAGCCTGCTCCCCACCGCGGCTCCTTTAAGGTGGTGAAGAAATCAGAGCTCACCCTTGCTACGTGGAGCCCGTCCCGGAGCTCAGCACGGGAGGACCGACAGCAGCAGCAGCTTTTCCTGCCCTAGTTGAGCCCTGGCACACCGGGAAGGGGGAACAGCTCCCGCGGGCAGCAGCCACCAGCCCCTTGGGCTGGGTAAGAGCAGGACTTGCTGCTCCCCTTCCCTCTGAGCTGGTGACTGGAAATGAAGCGGAGGAGCTGTCAGCATGGGATGAAAAGATAAATAAGGGTGTTTGTCTGCTGAGGAGGAAAGCGCCTTGCTAGGGAGGGCTGGAGAACAAAGACCTGCTGGAGTCTGAAATGCTCCAACTTAGCCCCCCGGAACACAGGGAGAACTGAAGTTCTGAGGCAGATGCAGCTTCATAACCCAGCCACAGCGAGGGCCTGGCCATGGGGCACCCGTTCCTCCCGAAGGAATGAACAGGGATCGAGGAGCATGGCCACAGGGGAGGAAGCTCCATGTTCTCACACCAACCTCACCCTGACAGACCTCCAGCTTCCCTTTCCCCCTCTATCCACGCGCACATGGAGCCTGTCCTCCTCCGAAGCACGGCACAGAGGTGGGGGCCCAGTTCCCTGCCCCACCAGACCCTTCTAAAAGCAGTTTGGTGGCAAAGGAAGCAGGAGCCCCCAGTGAAAGGTGTGACCAAAGCCATGAGCTGCGGTGCTGTTCGACACGGCCGCTTTGCTCGAGTTCAGCTCCTGGGTCTCTGTGAGCAGGCGGAGCCTCCTCCCGCGCGGGGAAGGGCCAAGCAGCATCAAACATCAGAGCTTTCCCTCTATGCCCAGTTCAGGTTTGGCTCCCAGCACCGTTTTGCCTCTCAAAGCAACCCAGGTTCTGGTTCATGGAGCTGCCGTCCCTGCTAGCGCAGCTCGTTCAGGTTCTGGTTGTGGAGGCTCTGGCGCTGCCTGTTCAAGTTGATGGTGTTGTCCAGCGTGATGGCATCGTCCTCCGGCGTGGTTTCCGGCATGAACTGCCGGAATATGCTGACGCTGCCGTGCCAGAAGATGGGCTCGGGGAGCCGGCCCACCACGCTCCATGCTCGTGTCTCGGGGTCATAGGCTTCCAGGACATCCGAGAGCTCAAAGGTGTTGTCGTAGCCACCGGAGACGTAGAGCTTCCCGCCGAGCACGGCCACACTGCCCCCAACGTGGACCTAGAGGCAAACACAAATGCACCCCATGGTCACAACGGGGGTTCTGGCACTCCAGGGGATGGCAACGGAGCTGGTGCTGTCCTACAGTGCTGAGCACCTACCAGCGCTGCCCCAGACCCCAAGGAGCCGGAGCTTCCAGCTTCACCGGCTCAACCCCCAGCCACAGTCATGGTGACACTAATGGGCAAGGGGTTACAACCCCAAGAATCCTTTGGGAATGAGGCAGCTTTTAGGGCGGGAGGTTGGTGTGTCCTACCTGAAGCATGGCTGGGATCTTGTCCCATTCATTCTTCGCTGGGTTGTACACATCCACCTCGGCCGAGTCGTCTCTGCCGGAGAGAACGCAGAGTTATCCCCCGTGGTCCAAACCCCCCTGCCCTGCCAAGCCCCACTTCAACAGCCTGAGATGCTACCGAGAGCAGACCATACTGCATGTGTCAGAGAGCAAAGGGGCTCAAGGCAGACCCCAGCCTCCAGCATGGGCCCCTCTTGCTGGGTCCCAATCACTGCGCAGCCCCGAGGGCTTTGTCAAGTCCGGTCTTTTTGACACCAGCATCTCCAGTGTATCACAGACCAGCTCCCTGCAGGTCAGCACTTCAGGGGCTGATCTGGCTTCAGGCCTGGAAGCAAAGTTACTGCTATTCTGGAGAGGCTTAAGCCTCCACATGCTTCCAAGTAACAGCATCCTCCTGCTTGGGGCTTTCATCAGTGCCAAATTTAGATGGGCTGAGGACGCGAGAGGAGAGGTATTTGGACAACGTGATCCCCCCAAGGGGGTGCTTTAAAATGGGTAAGGAAAAGGAAACCCTATAGAATCAGCAGGTGACAAGCGGCTGAAGACCCAAACCACCCAACCAGGTCTCAGTGAACACCAAGCGAGTCCAACAAACAGCCAGGAACCAAGACCCCAATGGGTCAAATACAAGGGCTGGAAGTTGCTGCTTCCTGCAAACCCATAGGAGATTAAACAGTGAGGAATGCGTCTGGAGGCCGTCACAGAGCTCCCTGCTTGCTCAAAGCCAGCACAACGGGATGAAACGCTCCGGCGCTCGCATGCCTTCCCGTTTATTTTTACTGAGGTGGATAACTGGAGCACTCGTGGCACCAGCACCGCCTCGGATGGGTAATTAGGCCCCAGTTTGGAACGGCGCTTAAAAATAGTGACCAATCATTTCATCTTGAGCCTCTTATCTCTGCTGAGAAGGAAGACGTCCTCTCCTGCGCCCAGCTTAACGTGTTCTTGGAGCCTGCTCGCTTATTTATAGCACCAAGGGGGGTTGAAGCCAAGAAAACAGAGACGTCTCTTTCCAAGCAGCGCTGCTGACTTCAGCCCCATTTATACCTGGCTGCTCCCAGCCCCTGGGCCAGGTTCTGGTGGTTTTACACAGTTTAAGCACAGTCCTTTGAGGTCTGTCTACAACAGAGGAGGAAAGAGGGGCAGTGGTTCACAGACCCAGCAGAGGAAGCACTGCTGTGCCTTCCCAATGCAAGGCTCTCTTACAACATGCTTTCCAGGGAGACCCTGGTCTTGCCTCACAGGGAGGGAGGCTCCCACTCCCATTACTCACCTTATGAAGTACATGAGGCCATTGAGGGTGACAGTCTTTGGGGCGAAGGACCAGGGGGGCAGATGCCCGCAGTTCACAAGGGTCCAGAGATCGCTGTCGGGGTCGTAGCACTGCATCACCATGGACTCTTTGCCAGCCAGGGAGCCGATGGCGAAGAGCTTGCCGCGGCAGGAGGTGGTGGAGCAGTTGTCCATGGGGTAGAGCATGGGCTGCAGGGCCTCCCAGCTATCCAGCGCGTGGTCGTAGCGCTCCGTGCTGTCCGAGGCGATGACGTAGAGCAGCCCGTCCAGCACCGTGGAGCTGTGGTATTCCCTGGCCTTCAGCATGGGAGACACCTCCGTCCACTCGTTCACGCTGGAGTTGTACCTCCACACGCAGTCGTAGAGCCTGGAGCCGTCGGACCCCCCTGTGGCACACACAAGGGTCAGAGCAGGGGAGCGCCTGGGGACCGCGGCACTGTCAGGGTTTCATGGAGGTTTTGCACTGTTTCCCTCCCAACAAGCCGGGAGGGTTCCCCCTGTGCTGTCCCCTGGCTGTGACTCAGAACGACTCTGCCAGGTTTGAGTGCTTACATCCTGCCAGATGACCACCTCCTCGCCTGTTCTGCAACCCCTGCCCCATCAGTGACAGCACTCACCCTCCATCAGAGGCAGCACTCACCCGTGCCCAGCCTCCCAGCCCTCCCTCTGCCTGGCCTATGAACCAACACTAACCGGAACAGCCAGATTCCCCCTTGCCAAAGCACCAGGCTCCCCCGGCAGCATCAGCACCTCTGGACCTGCCTGGGATTGCTCCCAAGGGCATCCATACAAACACACCGTGTGGCAGCCCATCATTGACACACCTCTGCCTGTAGCAGAGCCTCGTTCTGTGCTCAGGACCAAAGCACAGTTTGCTGTTTGCCTGCACCTGACCTGTCCTGCACACCCAGGGCAAGCTGCTCTGGTGCCTTCCCGGCTTGGCTTGCTCCGGCTGCCGCAGGGATGCACATCAAAGGAGGCACCTCCATGCGGATGAGCAGCCAGATCTGCGCACCCGGGTCACCTTGAGACAAGGCACTGCAGCCCCAGCGGCTGCGGGAGCAGGATTCGTGCTGGGGAAGGCACCAGGTGACTCAGGGGCACTGCCCGGCTGAGGCAATGGGGGCTCCAACACACCCCTGCCCCGAGCACCCGCCTGCGCCGTGATTCACGGGGCTCTGCACCCAAACACCAACCCCTGCCGAGCCACCCCCGGAGCGAGCGGTGGCAAAGCCCCACCAGTGCCGGCTCTGCTGCCTGCGTGCTCGGGAGCATTACTCATGACAAAATACCGCCTGGATTAAGACCAGCTGCTAAATCCAGCACCGACTCCAGGAGCCCCTCCGCCCGCCTTGGGGCTGGAGCCAGAGCAGAGCCTCCAAGTCTCCGCTGTCTGGAGAAAAGCCAAATGTGGTGCCAGAACCCGCCTGCTCCCAACGGAAACCCCACCGCCGGTGCCTTACCGGTGACGTAGATGTCATTGCCCAACGCAGCCACGCTGTAGCCCCCTCCGAGGTGCTCGGGGAACTCGGCCAGGTAGCGCCAGTGCCCGGTGCGCGGGTTGTAGCAGTCGACGGTGACGAGCTCATCGCAGTCACGGTCGCAGCCGCCGACCACGACGAGGATCTCGGCGAGGCCGGTGGAGGGCCGCGGGCGCATGCGGGCGCAGGGGCCGTGGTCGTGGCGGTCGAGGCGGGCGGCCTGGAAGTCGCGGGCCTCTTGCAGGAGGCGCAGGCAGGGCGGGCAGCGCGCCACCAGCGGCTCGCCCTCCACGTGCGCCAGCAGGTAGAACCGGCGCACGAAGGGCAGGCGGACGTGGGCCAGGAGCTGCGGCAGCAGCGGGGCGCGGGCAGCCGGGTCCGCGCGCACCCAGCGCAGCGCTAACTGGAAGGCGGCCTCCTCCTTGGGGACGCAGAGCCCATCATCGCGCAGGTAGGACAGGAGCCTCGGCAGCGGCAGGCGCTCCAGCTGCGCGCCCAGCTCCCCCACGTGCCGCAGCACGAAGCGATGCGCCGCGGCCGCCAGCGCCGGGCAGGCGAAGGCCTCGGCGAAGTCCTGCATGTCCAAGGCGTTGGCGGGCTCCAGCTGCCGCGCCAGCCAGGCCCCGCAGGCCTCCTTGACGGTGGGGAACTGCAGCAGGTCGGCGGCGCGCAGCAGGCGCTCAGCGATGTCAGGGCCCAGCCGCCCCACGCGCCCGGTGTAGGCGAAGTCGAGCAGGCGCGCCAGGCACTCGGGCTCCACGCCGTGCAGCCGCACGCGCTCGGCCCGCGCCTCCCGCAGCGCCCCGCCGAACATGGCGCGGAAATAGCCCGAGGCGGCGGCCAGCACGGCGCGGTGCGCCCCGAACTCCCGCCCGCCCGCCACCACCGTCACGTCCAGCAGGCTCCTCTCCGCCCGCAGCGCGCTCAGGCCCCGCAGCAGAGACACCGCGTGTGCCGGTTCCCCCGCCGCCGCCGTCGTCGCTGGTGCCGCCGTCCCGCCGCTGCTGCCGGTGTTGGCCGCCATGCCTAGGGGAGAGCACACGGTGTCACCACGCACGGAGCCGCCTGGGTGACACCGGGAGCGGGTCAGGGGAAGCAAGGCGGGGATAAGTAAAGGCAAGGAGGTTACCGCAAGGATAAACGGCGCCCGGGGAGGACGAGGGGAGACCCGACAGCCCCAGAGCCACCCGCGGTGCGGAGCAGCGGCCGTTGCATAACGAGCGGCGCTGGCAGCTGCCCCCCCCCGCCCCGGCTGATTCCATTCCCCGGGGCCCGTCCCGAGCTTCCCCGCACAGCCGCGACCGCTCCGCCCTTGCAGCGGGTACCTCGGCCCGGCCCCGCCGCTCCCCGCGGGGGGTACGGGAGTCACTGAGGCTCCCGGGGGGCCCGCTCGTTACCGCGGGCGGAGGCCCCGGGGGTCGAGTCTCAGGAGGCGGCCGCTCTGTCCCCCCCCCGCGGTACCGAGCGCTTCCGGTCCCGCCGGGCTGAGCCCTGCAGCGGGTCCCTGCCCCGGGGCCGCCGCTCCCCGGGCTCCGCTCACCTCCGCTCCGCTCCGCTCCGCTCCTCCCGAGCTGCCGCCGCCACCGCCCCGCCCGGCCCGGCCCCGCCCCGCTCCCGGCGGCCCCCGCTCCCGCCACTGCGCACGCCCGGACTACGGCTCCCAGCGCGCCCCGCGCGGGCTCCCGGCCGCCCCCTTCGCCGCCTCCCGCCGGTACCGAGCGGCTCGCGGGTGTCGGCGCTGCCCGGTTGCCGCCGCCGCCCTGGCCCCTCCTCCGCCGCCCGCGCCGGGACATGGACTCCGACTCCTGCGCATCCCCGTTCGCCCCGGAGGTGAGGGGGGGCCCGGGGGAAACGGGAGGGGATGGGGGGGGGGGCATCTCCCGCCGCCCGCCCCGGCCACCGGTGCCCGCTCCCCTCCGCGGGGCCGGGGCCATCTTGTGCCGGCGGGGCGAGGATCGGCGGGGGGGCGGCCGTGCCCTGCCGCGGGGGGCGGCGCGGCTGAGGTCCGGGACCGGGGGTGCGGAGAGGGGGGGGAGGGGCTGTGTGCGGGGGGGGTGCGGGGTTTGTGGTGGGGGAGGGGTGTTGTTGGCGGTACCGGCGCTGCCCGGCCCCGCCGCTCGCCGCGGGGGGTGGGGGTGGGGCTGCGCGGGGAGCGGCGGCGGGCGGGGCTCGGTGCGGGAGCGGCGGCGCGGGGCCGGGCTCGGCGGGAGGAGGCGCCGCCGCTGACCCCCCCCGCCCCCTCCCGCTCCCGCAGGACTTCTCCCCCGCCGCCCGGCGGCGCCGAACCGTGGAGGACTTCAACAAGTTCTGCACCTTCGTGCTGGCCTACGCCGGGTACATCCCGTACCCGCAGGAGGTGAGCGGGCACCGCAGCAGCATCCGCGGGGCTTCACCGCGGCCCCGCCGGTCCCTGAAACAAAAGGGAGCTGCGGGGAGGGGGGGGGGGGAAGCGCGGAGCCGGGATCGCTGCAGGCGATCGCTGCCCCGGTGGGGAGGGGATCCCCGGGCGCTCGCGCTGGGCCATGCACCCCGGGGGATGGGCACAGCGATGGGCGCCGAGTTAATGCCTTGATCCGGGCCTCGAGCAGGAAACGCCGCTGCGGAACAGCCCCAGCCCCCCCAACAGCACCGGAGGCACGATTGACAGCGATAGCTGGGATCCCCGGTTCAATGACATCCCCTCCTCCGTGTCCCTGCCCGCAAAGAGCAGGAAGAACTTCAGCCAGCTCAAGCGAGCGAAACCCTACGGTTCCCTGTTCCAGCGGGCGAAACCCGGCAACTTCCTGCCCGAGAGAAAGCAGATCGATAAGATCAGGAAGAAGAAGAAGCTGAAGAGGAGGGAAACAGAGGTGTCCGCAGAGGAGGACTACGAGGAGAAGCTGCTGGAGCTGGAGGCAGAGGACTCTTACGTAGAGACACCGATGAGCCCCTCATCCGAGGGCGATGCGCCGTCGGCCGCCGAGCACTGCTCGGTGTGGGACTCTGACACCCCCTCCAGCGGGTCCTGCCCTGCCGGTGCCCCTGAGCCGGCTGTGCAGATCCAGAGCGTGGGCAAGCGCACGGTCATCCGGCAGGGCAAGCAGGTGGTGTTCCGGGACGAGGACGGCACCGGCGACGACGAGGACATCATGGTGGATTCGGGTAGGTGGCCTGGCTGCGCGCGGGGGGGCAGTTGGTGGTGGTGATGCTGCTCCCTTTGGTACTTCCCTGTCAGGTGAGGATGATGCTGAGGTGCAGAGTGAATGGCAAGTGGGGCTTTGGGGGAAAGGAGGGGCTGCTTTTGTAATGAACTAAGTGAAAAGCTGCAGCTTTATAGAAGCAGCTGCTTCTCCCCTCCTGGATTATGGCCTCCTTTGTGTGCTGAGAGTCTATTCCCGTGCAAGAGACCTGGAAACAATGAGCAAAGTGCCTGTCTTTGAAGCCCAGGTACTTAATGTAGGGTAAATGTGGGTAAAAGGAGAGTGAATCCCCTGGGTGGGCGATGCGGTGGCTGCTAAAAATGCTGTTTCTCTGCAGATGACGACTCGTGGGACCTGGTCACTTGCTTCTGCATGAAGCCCTTTGCGGGGCGGCCGATGATCGAGTGCAACGAGTGCCACACCTGGATCCACCTCTCCTGCGCCAAAATCCGCAAGTCGAACGTCCCCGAGGTCTACATTTGCCAGAAGTGCCGGGACTCCAAGTTTGACATTCGCCGTTCCAACCGCTCCCGGACGGGCTCGCGCCGGCGCTTCCTGGACTAAGGGGGTTTGGACGGTGCCGGGGCCGGGGGGGGGGGCTCCCCCGAACTGCTGCTGCTCAGGCTGAGGGGCCGCCCGCCGGCCCGCGGTGACCGGGATGAGGAGAGGCCGAGTGGTCACAACTGCTGCTAGATACGGATTAGCTCAAGGACAGACCAAGCGGGGCTTTGCCCGCTTCCAACCATGGACTGGGTGATGGGGGAATGTATGGTACCTTTGCCACATACGTTTCCTCATCCCGTCGGGAGACTGCAAACCTCCTCCGTGCTCTCCAAAGAGAGGGGAAGAGGAGGGAGTCTGTGTGAAGAGTCTGAGAAGTAAATGGCCATGTGTTTTAATTTCAGTGTAATATTATCCCTGCCCGTTTGTCTGTACGTATCAGTCTCAGATATTCTAAGGCTCTGTAGGGGTGTTGATGTGTCCCAATGTGCTGCCTCCTTCCCAGGCTCAGGCAGAGGGGAGTTCTGGGATTTGGCATCATCCAAGTGAGAATGGGACTTTGTCCTGCGCAAGTTGTAAGGAAGAGAGCAGCCCTGTTCCATTTGGGATCAGCAGCATCGGGTTCCTCCCTAGAAGGTCTCTTCTGATGGTGCTTTCTCATGACTTTGTTTTGCATGATCAGCTCGATGTAAGGGGGAGGCTGTTTCCTCTGTTCCCTGGCCCTTTGTTAAACTCTTAAGGTGCTGTTTTAGGGCAGTGATGACTCTCCTCTTCCTCAGCCCAGAATTCAAACATGGACTGCAAAAGGGGCCGTAGTAAACCTAGAACCTGGCGGGTCTGCTCTGGGACTCTATCGTTTCCATCCGAGTGCTGCAGCTGAGCTGACTTTTCTTTTCACTTTTGGTTTTGGAGACTGGATTTGTAATTAACCCCCCCAAATCTTTAACCTCTCGGTTGCAAACGATGCAGATAAAAGCAGATGCGGCTCTGCAGGCAGCAGGGTGAAGTGCAATGAAGATCCAGCCGGTGTGGGGGAGTCCAGGAGAGTGCTGAGGCCCTTGACGGGACTTCCAGGGGAATCCTGTTGAGGAGTGTGATGGGAGTCAGGCCTGTAGGTGAGGCCAAGGTGGCAGTGCAGTCCCTCTATGACCAGCAGTGTGCACTGAGCAGCACAGAGCCAGGTTCGCTCCCCTGATGTCTGCCATAGAGCTGTGGGCAGAGCAGCACCGCAGCGCCCTGGGGCCATGCCGTATGGGGTGCCAAAGGTCTGACAGCCTGGGGCAGAGCAGGAACTGCACCCTGTCCAGCTGCTTCTGACCTGCTTCTGCATCCAAACCCCGTGCCACCAAGCTGCACCGACGGACTCCGGGTTCTGAAACCAGCTCCTGGGCGATCTTAGGACCGTGGTGTGGAGCCCTTCAGAAGCTGCACGGAGCCACCGAGGAGTTTGCCAAAGACTTGCCCCCGACTGCTCTTTCCAGCCCGCACAATAACCAAAGTTCTCCAAAGCTGCGGCTCCACTCTGCCAACAGAAAGGCTTTGGGCGATGCCGGTGGCGAGCTGCACCAGGCTCGGACCTGCTCTGAAAGCTGCCATCCCTGTGGTTACTGCAGCTCAGCCGGACCTCGGTGGAACGGGATCCTGGAGCTGTGATGGGAGCAGTGGTGAACTGCCAAGAGAACTGGCTCTTTTCCCCTGAGGGTCGATACTAATCAATGTGACTGACTCTTGTTCTGTTACCTTTCCAGATTTATCCCCTTGGATGGTGTCTGACAAGTCCAGCACGTTACAATATCAGCAGAGAGAAACAAACAAGTAACATCTCCATTCTTTTAGTTGATCACTTTCAGCCATGTATAATTATAGTTTAATTCAGAACTTTATTTTTTCATTAAAACTGTTTTAATGAACCATGTTTTTTTTTTCCCCCTCTTAACTGTGAAACAAGTGAACAATGATTCTGTTTTATTCCAAACTCAGGACTCTGCTGTTATGATTTCCCAGTGTGTGGAGCAGTTGTGCCGGGTGGCTGCAGGACGTGATGCCTCAAGCGCTCCTCCCTGAGCGGTACACAGAGCCAGGTAGGGATGGGAAGTGCTGCAGACACCTCTCATGCACTGATGGGTGTCCCCAGCCCTCCTTGCACAGGCTCTGTTACAAGGTAGATTGTGGGAGCAACAGCCCCCAGTCCTGCTATGGGGCTGCACTGAGGCCCTCAAACCACCCAAGGGGTACCAGTGCCACCTCAGCTCCTGTACATGCTCAACCAGGCATGCTCAGAGCAGCAGCCTTAGACCATGGCAAGGGTAAAAGATGGCTCGACTCCTCAGAAATGGCACTGGATCGTAGTAGAAGCCAATCTCTGGTTGGTTATAGCTTCTATTTTAATTTTATCCGTAATTTTGGGCTAAACAGAGGCCCCAGAGGAGCTGCAGCTGTAAAATGGCAGCTTCTCAAGCGAGCAGAAATGGTGGTAGTGAAAGCAGTGGTTGTGTTTTTAGAGTCCCTTTAAAACTGTGCACTGGTAGGAAACGAGGGGAGGAGGAGGTGGCTGGAGTGTGTTCAGCAGGAGAGACCGGCCCCAGACCTGGCTCCGAGGAGGAGATGGGCAGGATGGGGCACAGACTCCACGCATGGGCACAGTTCAGCAGCGCTCGACAGCCACAAACACTGTGAGGAGGGCCTGAAGTGCTGCAGGAAACCTGCTGCAGCAGCTTCACGGGTGGGAAGGGCACTCATGATACCTGAACGGAGGGGAAGAGCAAGAGCTGAATCCTTGGGGGGTGATCTGGCAGGAGAAAAGAAGCTGCATCTCACCATGTGCAGCAGGGCACAGGGGAAGGCTCCTGTTGGTATTAATTGTGAGGTATTTTACTTTAACAAGAGCTGCAAATTCAGGTGTTCAAAGCTAAGGTTCATCTGTCCCTTGCATAGAGGCTCTGGCTGAAAAGATGAGCCTGTGTTCCCTGCCCCTTGTTCAGGTACCTGAAGCAGTTCTGGCTCTGTTACAGACGGATGTGCCACCTCCCTTTCTATGGCATCCTGCAGTTTGTACCAGAAGATGCTTCTCTTACAGGACATAACGGCTGGAGCAGGAACAACGTGCTCTGCCCCTCCGAAATGTTAATGTTCAAGTGCAGAAACACCATGGGGCACCTCAAGTACCAAAGCAGCTTTCAGAATCACAATGCTGGCTCTCTACATTTTAATGCAGACTCTGCAAGCAAACACTTGTAACAGCAGAAACTACCTCCGGAAGCTGTCAGAAACAGGGACAATTGTTTTATTGTGCAAACCTTTTCCATGAGAACCCTCCCCACTGCCATTGCTCTGATAGACACGGGGCCAGGCTGAGATTCCTCTTTGTCATTAGCAGTAAATGTGTTGTCCTATTTTGCACTTGCCTATCCAAAACACAGCTCTCAGTCCTCCTCCTGGGAGTACTGTGCCATGTCCTAGTCACTGCAGGCTGGCTCTTACTCTTGGCCACATGCTTCATGCAGTGACAGGACATGGAAGAGGAATTTCTCATTCCAGTTCAGCTGTTTCACACACAAGCCATCAGAGGTCCATCAGCAGGACGGGACAGGGTGCTACAGAACTCGCAACCCTCGCCTCTCAGGACCTGGTTTTCAAGAGCATCCTCCAGATGCAAAGGGAATGTGGGCTACTTTTCAGCCGAGTATAATTTATTGCACATTTTACATTTGATTTCAGATGAACAGAACACTGGTGGCAAGCACAATAATGTCCTGCACCAGGAGCTGGTCACAACTGAAGAGTTTTGTTCTTAATAAAAACACCTGAACACCCCTTTGTTGTATGAACTTGTTCTTAGAGGGGGAGCATCTCTTTCAGACTGGCTCAAGCCAGATTGCCCAGAGCAGACTCTCCTGCCACACTGAGTTGAGCAAAGGGAACCACAGTTGCACAGAAGCAGGGGCCAGGTATGTCAGGGAATGACCTCTGGCAGTGGCTGTCAGAGCCATGCTGCACTGCCCAGGCAGCAGTAGTGTAAACTACATTCCTCTTTTCCCTAGAAATAAATTAGATGGGAAGAGATAGTTGCAGCACCAGAATCAAATTAAATGAATTGCTTTCCTTCTTCCCACTTGCATTCCTCTATTGAAAACCCCGATAGCACATGATTCTAGGTGGCAAAGGAATTAATAAGACTTTTCCAGCCGGTGTCCTTGTCTGGAATAGTGTGAAATGAGCAGCTGAAGAGCTCCTCTTTACTACAAAAGGCAAAGAACTTGATTCCAAACATACTTGTTCTTAACAAGAACATCTCAAATGCAGATTTGAGACGAAACATGATCTCTGTCCTCTTCCCAACAAAGGAATTCCAGGTGGTGGCCAGAGAAAACTCCCTCTCAGGAGCAGAAAAAGGCGTTACCTACCCCAGGAGGTATGTGGAGGAGTGAGCACAGGTCCTCTTCCCTGCTCCCTGCAAGGAGATAGGCCATGGCCAGACAGCAGCAGGAGGGGTGGTGCTCGGTGCCCGCTCGCACACCCTCAGCACAAAGCACTGCGCAGTCAGAGCCACGTTGTTTTATTGGTTACTGAGCCACAATTCAGAGCAGTATTGCCGTGGAGCCACCTGGAGAAGCAGGTTCTCAGCACTGGTAGGACACCACCTGCTATATGGGGAGTTAAAAATAAGAGTGTCTCTGTTCAAGCTTGCAGTGTCCGGGGGAGGCTGTGGTTTCCATTGACCCAGGTACTGTTACGGACACACGCTGGCACCAGATTAGCCATCAGCATCGATTCTGTGAGCTGTTGGGTGAGAACAACACATGGATACACCCCTTCTGGTGGACAAGACACCCCAGCTTGAACCCACCACCAGCCATGGACAGAGTAAAGAGGGGTCTGTGCCCTTTAGCCAGTAACTGAACCCCAGTTCTGTGTGCTTCACTGCTCAGAGCTAAAGCAATCCTCTACTGGTTCCCAAAGGAAGAAGCAAAGCAGTGCTGGCTACTTACATTGCTTTGGTATCCTAAGGGCCTCATTGTCAGCTGCCATCACTTGGTGCAGAACTCCTCGGAACTGATAAAGCACTTTCAGACTCTTCTCCTCACCCACACAGGGGTCATAGAAACCTGGCAGCCCAGCCTTGAACCAGAGAAGGACACAGCGAGCATCAGGGAATGGACTTCCACAGCTCTTCAGCTGACAGAGTCATTTATTAGTGCCAGAATGAGGCATCGTTAAAAAGGAGTTTGTTGCCAAGGAGGTAAGAAACTAAATGCAGACAGGAGCGAAGCAGGGGGTTGTTACAGCCCAGAGTCTGTACCACACAGTCTCACACTGAAAACACAGAGATGCTGTTTCTTTGGCACTGGAAAGGCCCAGAGAAACAGAAGCTCCTGGAGGTTCATACTGGTATGTGAATGGCTTCTGTAAGCTGGTCTAGGCACTGGCTTCAGCACATGGGAGAAATCCCCTGTCAGCACAGCCTTTGGTTCAATGGGAATTCTGAGTCACACACCCAAGCCCCTGAGCCCGGGCCTTGACAGAACAGCCTCGTACCTTGGATGCCTCTGTGAGGATGAGTTTAGAGTCTTTCACCAAGCACTGCAGGGGCACTGTCACATCTATTACTTTCACCTTCTCATTCTTCCTGCTGTTGTCATTCACAAACTTCCCGTACCAGGCGTTCACCACAATCAAACCTGGAGTCATGTGAAATCACAGATGTGGTGAGTGGCTTCCCATTGCCTACAAGGCAGACCCCCATGGAAAGAACACCCCAGCATTCCCTCTTGCTTTCAATGCTATCTGAGTCCTCCTTGCCTGGACCCATGCTTCTCAAGAGAGAAGAACATTTCTACTTGGCACTAGGACAGAATGACACCACTTCAGTGCCACATTGATGTGACAATACAAAGGGATGTCAGTTCACTTTGGAACAGTTTCTTGGAAACTGTCAGCAAACTGAACTTCAGACTATCACTCTTGCACATTTATACACACACCTCTCTTGTGGTGAGGTGACTCCAGACTGTTGTCTTCAGCCTGTTGGATCGACCTCACAGCATGGCCCAAGGTAAGATTCAGTGGATCCCTACTA